AAGTTGGTTGTAGCTAATAAATTCATCTTTCTTTCAGCTGGCTTCCAAACTAGTTCCAATATGTAAACAGTTTATGCTAACTGAGCAATGATACTGTGCTGACTAAAGCACCCCCTGTGTCTCAGTGCACAGCAGCGTGGGTAGGGAAAGAAGAAAGGTCTGTTGACAAAGTCAGAATATCCTCTGGGACAAGGCTAAAAGTATTATCATTGAATTCCAAACCCAAACAGATCCATTTGTAAATAAATGCTGTCAGAGGACATTGTAATGGATAGCGCGTACTTTTAAATTGATTTCTTTTTGATGGGATAAAAACATCTTATGAGAGAGATGTTGAAACATGGCTTTTAATGTAAAGTAACGTAATTTAGATTTTAAAATAGAAAACCTTTTGTTGATAGCAGTTTATTCGATTCAGTGCATGTACCAAGCGTTATTTTCTATGGGTTATAAATTAGCTTTGAACCAGCTATAATTCATAAATCGTTACTTATGACTGATTGATAGGAAATCTCATTAATAGCAATAGCAAAAAGACCTTGAAGTAAGCAAGAAGTAGAAAATAAAACAGCCTGGGGATTGGAAAAGGAGAGACACATGCACTCTACAATTAAGAGAAAGGTGTTGTATTTGCATATGAAAGCATGCTTCTGATCATTATAGTTGATCCTTTCCATAACTTTGAATAATAGATATTAGTGTTATTCTTATTTATATAAGAGGAAAAAACTGAGTGTCCCATCACTTTATTTTTATTTTCAGTATGTTTTAAATATTTATTATATAGGGGCGCCTGGGTGGCGCAGTCGGTTAAGCGTCCGACTTCAGGCAGGTCATGATCTCGCGGTCCGTGAGTTCGAGCCCCGCGTCAGGCTCTGGGCTGATGGCTCGGAGCCTGGAGCCTGTTTCCGATTCTGTGTCTCCTTCTCTCTCTGCCCCTCCCCCGTTCATGCTCTGTCTCTCTCTGTCCCAAAAATAAATAAATGTTGAAAAAAAAATTTAAAAAAATAATAAATATTTATTATATATTGCTTATGAGCTGGTGACTTTACATACATATATACATTAATATATATTAATTTACATATATATGTATATATTTACATGTATATACATTAATAATGTGAGTGCCAACAAAAACCTTTTGAGTAGATAACAGTGGTGTCCCCCTTTTACAGATGGGGAAAGTGAAGTAAGAGACGTAAAGTAACTTTCTCAATTGTAGAGTCCTGCAAGTTTAAGCAGGCATTTAACTTTAGGAAGTCTACCAGAGTCTTCTCCCTTGATTACAGGACATGGATGCCTTTGCTGTTTCTTATTTTAACGAAAAAAGGTTAACAAATGGTTTGTCTTAAGCAAAAGGCTTACCTTCTTCACTTCTGTACTATTTCTGGTCAATAAGTTATTTCAACCTGTATTGCCAGAGACCCTAGGATTCTAAGAGTCGTAGGGTGGGAGGTGGGAGGTAAAATAGAGGAGCAGGACCCTGGGACCCTCACCTAAAAACACCAGTTAGGAACACCTGAGTGGCTCAGTTAAGCGTCTGATTCTTGGTTTTGGCTTAGGTCATGATCTCACGGTTCGTGGTCTCAAGCCGCTTGTTGGACTCTGCACTGAGTGCTGAGCCTGATTGAGATTCTGTCTCTCTTTCTCTCTCGCTGCTCTTCCCCCTCTCGTGCTGTCTCTGTTTCTCTCAAAATAAGTAAATAAATAAAAAATTTTTAAAAACACCAATTAATGTATCAGAGATTTTATGTTCTATTTTTTAATGCCCAATTACCTTAAAACGTGTGGAGCGTATGTAAAACTATACCAAATCATATGAATAAAAAATTTTCAGTGGCCATGATCACTGGAAATTTAAGTAGGATTCTGTTTAAAATGGAAATCTACAAGGGTTTTGAAGGTCATGTTTAAATTTACAATAAAAAATAACTCCTTCTCTAACTCAGGGTGAAAAACCTATCAAACACATCATTGTCACAGTATAAGTGGGACAATAGAATAGACCTGTAAAGCCATCAACGAGATTAATAAGATGAGCAGAGCCCTGCTATTTAGTGATTAGTTGTTTTAAATGTAGATTTTATTATTATTTCGGTATGATGGGACAAACAAATCAGGGGACAATTGTCATTGAAGAGATATATTTTTTACTCCTAGTTCCCAAGAGGAGGGAGCATGCCATGCCACATAGGGGCCACACAAGGAAGCAGCAGGGTCACCAGGGGGTAGAAAGAACAAGGGAAAATCTGAGCAAGAGTCTTTATCACGGTTTTTGAGAGAAAGCAAGAGAAGGCAGAGGAAGCAGGCTTGCATTTGACTAGTATAAATAATTTCAGTGGATTCTGGGACCTAGGGGCTGTCCCTAGGTGCCTGATTCTAGCTCTGGAATCATTGGGGCAGAGGGAGAGTGGCCCAAGTATAAGAGCCCTGGGAGATCCTGATAAATGAGGTGGTTTGGGGCTTAGGCTTCAGGTTGATTGGTTTGAATATGAAAGGCAGGCTTGTGGTCAAGTCCTTTACTATCCCTAGAAATTGCCTAGCCCTTGGAGAAGTCTCTCTGGAACAACAAAGCCCTGCATATCAAAACATCAGAAAATACAGACCATTAGAAAGTCGTGATTAATATACTGGTACCTATCCCAACGCATATACAAAGAGTTGTTAATTAGGTATTAACTGTTTCTGTGCGTTTGCAACAGCCATTATTTAGTGCCTACAGTGTGCTAGGTACTGTGTTGGCAGTGGGATGAGAAAAAACCATCAGACATGGCCTCTGTCCTCATGGTGTTGTAGGCTAGTGGGGAAAATAGACCCAGGGGCTGATGATCATGTGCTAGATGGTGTGAAAGATCAGTCTAGAGCTGCAACAGCCCTGAGGAAAGAAGTCTCTCTCCCAGGCGCTCCGTTCTCCTGCCACAGGGAACTTTTCACTGTTCCCTGGATGTATGAGCATCTTTTATGTGTCCTTAGCTTGGTTCAAGCTGGTGCTTGCCTAAAATGCTTTTCTTTCCCTTTTTTTTTTATTTACATCAACTTCTATAAAACCTAGATCAGATGATCTTCTTCTTCGAAAATCCTCTGATTTACCAGCACAGATTGAGCTGATCTGGTGTCAGTGCCCTTGTGCCAATGTGGCCTGGTCTCATACCAATGAACATATATTATTGTACTTCATCTGTTTGCCTATCTGTCTCAAGCTTTGAATCATAACTACCTCAGGCATAAGGATTATATTCTTCATCTTTATATACCCAGTACTCAACAAGATGTCTGTAAGAGCAACAACAAAAATGGTAACGATAGTAATAACAATAACAACAATAATGATAATATTTAACACTACTGAGTTTTTACAACGTGGGAAGCATTATTCTGAGTTATCTGAATATTCTGATATCTGAATTTTCTGAGTTATCTGCATTAACCAATTTTATCCTCACAACACCACCAAGGGGTGTGTAATATTGTTACTCCTCTTTTGCAAGTGAGGAGAATGTGTCATGGAAAGAAGATAAGTAACTTGTCCAAAGTGACACATAGTAAGTACTAAATCAGTGCCGTTTTGAATTGGAGTGTAGTGATCCACCATCACTTTCGTCATTTGTTTGTTTCCAAGAGGTTTATAGAAGAAACCCTGTTTATTGAGATGAGACATTTGGAAGAAGTCATTACACGGGTGCCCAGTTCATAGTAAGCCAGCTGAGTGGGACGTACACTGGGTAGCCCAAGATCCTTTAATATTCCTCCTTGTGCTGGAAGAAATGCAGAAAGCAAGTTATTTTATTTCCCTTCACCCAAATCTACTTAAAATCAGTCAGAGTAAGGACCCAAGATAAAAAATATTTTTTTTTTATATTCAGGTATTCTCTGTACTTAAAAATTAGATATCATAGGAATGACTTAATTTGTATTATGTCTGCCTATAGGTAGCAGTTAGCTATCTTATAATGAGTTTCAGTTTAGGAGAATCTTCAAAAGTTTATGTACATTTGCATGTACCGCTGTTTCAGTATATCTTCACAGGTGCTATAAGTCAAGTTGCCAGAGTTTACAGATGAGGTCACCCCTGCCCAAAACAGTATTTTAAAGAAATTAATTGGGAAAAAATATTTTGCTTTGCCATCATTCTCCCAGAAGCTCTTGCATAAAGTATTTGAGACCATATGCTCTTGGACCAATCGGATATGTGTGTGAGCCCTGGTTCTGTACTTACTAACCTTGTGACTTCATTCATGTTGCTTTCCCTATGATTAAATTTCTCCCTCAGAGGAGTGCTGTAAGGGCAGAAAGGATCAGGACACACAACCTTTGCAATTGAAAAGGGCCCCATTCTTTGGAGGGCCCATGCTTGGCTAATGCTCTGTTGTTATGGATTTGAAATTCTTCATCATTTTGAACAAACCATCCCCCAGTTTCATTTGGTACAGGGCCCTGAAAATTATGTAGCCAGCCATTCCTGGATAAGTTGGTAAGTCTATATACCATGGTGCCTAAAAGTAGCCCTCAATAAAATTCAACTATTACTAATTTTGCAAGGGAGTTTTTAGTTTGTTGGGTATAGCCCCAAATCCTGTTTTCTGATCTTTTCCAATCTGGTTTGGACATTCAACCTGTTGTTGGGGTACATTTCATATGTCCTTATGCATTCAAGTCCTAATTGGTTGGTAAACACTATATTAAGGTGTTTTACCTCATGCTTCCATTTCCCTGTGATTGCATATTTGATGGATATGGGCTGTGGATGGCTGCTAATTTGCAGTACAGAAACATTTTCTATATAAACATGAGCCGCATCACTCTACAAGGGATACTTGATTTGTTGTTTCCTTAGTCTGAGAAATGATGGCTTTAGCTGTTACACTGCATCACTGACATTGCTCCAGAAAGACATTTGGAGGAGAGCTAATACTTTTTTTCTTTTTTTGTCTTTTCTTTTTGCTCTTATATTGCAGACTATTTGAACTCCAGAAGGACCAACACCAGATAAATTATGAATGTTGAACAAGATGACCTTACATCCACAGCAGATAATGATAGGTCCTAGGTTTAACAGGGCCCTATTCGACCCCCTGCTTGTGGTGCTGCTGGCTCTTCAACTTCTTGTGGTGGCTGGTCTGGTGCGGGCTCAAACCTGCCCTTCTGTCTGCTCCTGCAGCAACCAGTTCAGCAAGGTGATTTGCGTCCGGAAAAACCTACGTGAGGTTCCAGATGGCATTTCCACCAACACTCGACTGCTGAACCTCCATGAGAACCAAATCCAGATCATCAAAGTGAATAGCTTCAAGCACTTGAGGCACCTGGAAATCCTACAATTGAGTAGGAATCATATTAGAACAATTGAAATCGGGGCCTTCAATGGTCTGGCAAACCTCAATACTCTGGAACTCTTTGACAATCGTCTTACCACCATCCCAAATGGAGCTTTTGTATATTTGTCTAAACTGAAGGAGCTCTGGTTGAGAAACAACCCCATTGAAAGCATTCCTTCTTATGCTTTTAACAGAATCCCCTCTTTGCGCCGACTAGACTTAGGGGAATTGAAAAGGCTTTCATACATCTCAGAAGGTGCCTTTGAAGGTCTGTCCAACTTGAGATATTTGAACCTTGCCATGTGCAACCTCCGTGAAATCCCTAACCTTACACCTCTCATAAAACTAGATGAGCTGGATCTTTCTGGGAATCACTTGTCGGCCATCAGGCCTGGCTCTTTCCAGGGACTGATGCACCTTCAAAAACTGTGGATGATACAGTCCCAGATTCAAGTGATCGAACGGAATGCCTTTGATAACCTTCAGTCACTAGTGGAGATAAACTTGGCACACAACAATCTAACATTACTGCCTCATGACCTCTTCACACCCTTGCATCATCTAGAGCGGATACACTTACATCACAACCCTTGGAACTGTAACTGTGACATACTTTGGCTCAGCTGGTGGATAAAAGACATGGCCCCCTCCAACACAGCTTGTTGTGCTCGATGTAACACCCCTCCCAATCTGAAAGGGAGGTACATTGGGGAGCTTGACCAGAATTATTTCACATGCTATGCTCCTGTGATTGTGGAGCCCCCAGCTGACCTCAATGTCACTGAGGGCATGGCAGCTGAGTTGAAGTGTCGGGCCTCCACGTCCCTGACCTCTGTATCATGGATTACTCCAAATGGAACGGTCATGACACATGGGGCATACAAAGTGAGGATAGCTGTGCTCAGTGACGGCACATTAAATTTCACGAATGTAACCGTACAAGATACAGGCATGTACACGTGTATGGTGAGTAATTCCGTTGGAAATACCACTGCTTCAGCCACCCTGAATGTTACTGCAGCAACCACTACTCCCTTCTCTTACTTTTCAACCGTCACAGTAGAGACTATGGAACCTTCTCAGGATGAGGCACGGACCACAGATAACAACGTGGGCCCCACTCCAGTGATCGACTGGGAGACCACCAACGTGACCACCTCTCTCACGCCACAGAGCACAAGGTCAACAGAAAAAACATTCACCATCCCAGTGACCGATATAAACAGTGGGATCCCAGGAATTGATGAGGTCATGAAGACCACCAAAATCATCATTGGCTGTTTTGTGGCCATCACACTCATGGCTGCAGTGATGCTGGTCATTTTCTATAAGATGAGGAAGCAGCACCATCGGCAAAACCATCACGCCCCTACAAGAACTGTTGAAATCATTAATGTGGATGATGAGATTACAGGAGACACACCCATGGAAAGCCACCTGCCCATGCCTGCTATTGAGCATGAGCACCTAAATCACTATAACTCTTACAAATCTCCCTTCAACCACACAACAACAGTTAACACAATAAATTCAATACACAGTTCAGTGCATGAACCGTTATTGATCCGAATGAACTCTAAAGACAATGTACAAGAGACTCAAATCTAAAACATTTACAGAGTTACAGAAAACAAACAATAAAAAAAAAAGACAGTTTATTAAAAATGACACAAATGACTGGGCTAAATCTACTGTTTCAAAAAAGTGTCTTTACAAAAAAAACAAAAAAGAAAAGAAATTTATTTATTAAAAATTCTATTGTGATCTAAAGCAGACAAAATTATGTGTATTCCTCAGAACCTGTTTTTGCTGCACTTATTTACTATTTTCCCACATTTCATCCCTGCCTACCCTGGTTGCCATATTTTTCATAGGACATCTCAAGTCCCTAAAGAACTGGCCTAGGAAATTTTGTAAGAATTCTGTTACACTTTGAGATTTTTATGGTGAATTCTAGTGGTGAGATCCAGTCTATTTTGTCTTTCTTTCTTTTTTCCCTTTCCTTTTTTTTTCTCATGCCCTTATCAAGTAGTCCAATGGGGAATGCAATATTAGAAATAGATTTTTAAGAGAGAACAAGATAAAAAAAATGTAAGATCTTATATTTTTCATGTAATGACCTGCTCTGTATTTATGAGGAGAACCATTCAATGGCCAAGCAAAAAGAAAAAAAAAGAGAAAAAAAAGAAAAAAAAAACGTAAGCAAACAACAGATTAATTTACATATGAGCATCTATAAAACCCATGATCTTTTAAACAACTCTAGAACCAGAATTTGTAGTTCAAAAACTAAAAACATAAGGTTATAAATAAAATATTGTTGGTTTTTCTGTACCTGGACACAACTCATTTGTAGTATGGCTCAAATGTGAGAAACTTGAAGGTAATTAGATTTTCTACTTTCTAAGAAAGAAACAAATTATTGTATTCTTCAGTCACAGCATCAATCTCTATGGGGTCCTATTTCATTAGCTGACTTGAGTGTTGGATCTATATTCAGGGATGCTGTGGTATTTTTTTTCCTTCTCATTAGGATCACCCTTTGTAGAATGCTCAGATTAAAAAATAATGATTTTGTGAAGTAAATTCAATTCCACTTGGAAGAAAGTTTCAGTATAATTTATTCACTGTCTCCTAAGTAAAATTCTACTGGCTAGCTAAAGTATAACAAGAGAACGTGAAGGTATTCTAAATTATCCAAGTTGCAAAATAATTTTTGGTGCTATCAGCAAATTCCATTCAATTCCACAATAATTATTAATGCCCTTCTATGTTTTAAACACTGATCGTAGTGCCATGGGTACACAATGGTCAAGACCTGCTTCTTGTCCTTAAGTCACACATGATCTGTATGAAATATGATTAAAGAAATTTCAGCTTATGATTGATGGCCAGCTCCAATTTCACTGTTAGGTGGAAAGCTGTGCATTGCAAACCCAGAATTTCAAAATATTGGGTTACTAACATGACAGAAACCTCCTTGCTTTATGGTTTCTTCCATCCTTCTGAAAGAGCTGACTCTCTTCTTTCAAATGCAGATTGCAGAGCTGTAAAGATGTGTGAGTATGGATTTGCCATGATGGATGTGTGCATACCAAGAGATAGCAATGCTAATACAGTGGTAATTCACTAAAGGTACTTTAAACAACTGGAGAAATTTTAGGTATGAGAACATACACTAGGTTTCAAGTAAAAAAGGAACTTGCTGGTTACTGGTACCTCGGCACTCTCCTGATATGTTAACATAGTATGTGTGTGACTTCTGTCTTTATCTGATGTGAAGCAAAACGAAGATAGACACTTTATTTTTCCTAGCCCTTGAAATCTGCCACCTCATTGGTGATGTAAGTGATGCCCAAACTGGAGAAAACTTTATCACCTAGTGGATGGGGAGCTTCTATACTCACGGTTAACTGCAGACTGGACTTCACACCAGGGTTTTGTGATCTCCAGGTGTGGAAAATAAATCATTGCTGGCAAAGTAGGTCAGAGAACTGGAATGAAGGGGAAGCAAATGAATAAGACCACACAAGGGTTTTACCTCTATTTTTTGATCACCAATTCTCTAGTAGCCTTTTCTGCCCTTGTATTATACCTCCCTTTGTTAGGAACACAATTCACATTTTACTGTTACTGTGGAGAAGACCCAAGAAAAGGGAAAACACGTGTTGGTTGTCACTGGCCAAGCTGTTCAATATAGAATGTACTTAATATATTCCCAAGCTTCGGATCACAAGGCAAACAAACAAACAACCCACCAAGGAATATTCAGCGAGTGTTAGTACAAAGAAGAGTGGTATAAGCCAAGAGGGAAAAGAATCCTGCCTTCTCTACTTGATTTGTGTTCACTGAGCTCTCTCTTTGCTGACTCTGAACCTCCATTCACTCTGAGCTGATAATTCTTATGGAGTTAGTCCTAGCACACAATTCCCCTTGGCTGCGAGGGTTGGCTGAACAGGTTGATAAATTCTAACTAGAATGAAAGGTGAACTCAAAAAAGTTAGGTAAAAAAGCAAACCTTCTGGTCTTATAGGAGATTATAGTTGCTCTAACGAATATATTCTAGAAGAAAATATATTGATGAAAGACTGGTTAAGCCAAACTTGACTTTCACAATAAATTTGACCAAAGGTCCTCATTGCAGGTTTTTGGGTTGAAAGGTGGAATGCTATAAATGCATTATCTAGATGTATGTATGTAGAGATTTATGATTAGTGGTGTCTGTATTTGCTCTGCATAATGTACTTGGCTTTTGGTCCTTCAGTACAGCAGCTGCACAGATGTATTAGAGACCATCTACACACTGTGGACTTCTTGGTCCTTGCAGAAGGTTCATATGACTGTTTAAACATCTGGTATATATCCTTGTAGCAAAACACAATTCTATGCCAATTGCTCTTTTCATTCTATCCAAAGGCATCCAAGTGGCGGTATTCTTAAATAATGTGCACCAAAAATATGCCATTTACAATTAACCAAGTTAAGGCAACCTGATGACAGGCAACCTGATGATAGTGTGTATGTGTGTGCGTGTGTGTGTGTGTGTGTGTGTGTGTGTGTGTACATATATATTTTTCCTACGTAAGGTATGCAGTTTGCTTCAGGGAAACATCGAAGATGTTTTAGAAAGAAGAATCTGCAACATTTTCTACTCAGGAATCCTATATACGTGATGATTACATCAATTACCTAAATTCTTCTGAATGTGTGCAAATACATTCTCAGTGACAAGATAGAAGAATTTGTATAGCTCATGCACACAGGCCCTGATACAGCTTTGCTAATTATCCTTCATATTCTGAATATTCTGTAATCAAGTAACATCTTTTCCCAAGATTTAAATAGGTCATTTGATCTTAGAACGTAGATCAGTGTTTGAGGAGGAAAATGTTGCCAGTCCATGATTGCTCTGAGCCCTCATAATCCAAGAGTTAAAAGTCAGGATATTTGAGACTGCACACTATGAAATTTTGAATGTAGATTGCTGGCAAATTACTTGACAATAGAAGGGTATTTACATGGGAGAAGGAAAAGAAAGGCTTTTTTAGAATGGGAGTTACTGAAACATGAAAATAAATAAATAAATAAATGGATGGCTCTAGAGTATCCAACATTTCCAAGGTAAATATTGAAAGGTGGAAAAACACCACCACCACCAACTCTGATTCCTCTATCCTTTTAGGGTAAACTTCAGGATGCTTAGATAAATAGAAGAGTCAAATGAGTGGTTGTTGAGTACAGTGTGGTGCTCTGAAACAATGTAATTTTTAAATAGTGTGTTCAACTGTTGATTTGGTTTTCAACTTACTAGTTTTAATAAGGATATTGCAGAAAATCATCATTAAATATCACACACATAACATTCAGGTGACTGAGGAGTCAGACTCTTCTAGGAAACCATCATTGGTTTCTCATAAAATATATTAACACAGAGTCAAATCGTTCATAAAAGCATCTCCCTTTAAAGTATATGCATATATTATATTTTATTAGAATATGATTTCTGTACAAAAACTATTTTATTCATTTATTATTTAAGATTTTATTATTAAGTAATTTCTACATCCAGTGTGGGGCTCTAACTTACAAACCTGAGATCAAGAGTCACATGCTCTTCTAACTGAGCCAGCCAGGCGCCCCTGTACAACAGCTACTTTAGATAAAAATGAGTTTTTAAATTGCCTTTAAAAAATCAAAGTATTTTCTATTCTTTTTCTTCTGCCATAAGGAGAAATATAAATTCTAAGAAACTCTGTATTAGGTAGAAACCAGCTGTGACACCATTGTCTTTCTGTGCTCTATCAGGGTACAAAATAAGATACATCTGGCTCCATGAGAGAAGAAAGAAATCCAGAATGAATGACAGTGCACTATCAATTAAGATCCAAATTTAGATGCTGAGTGAAGCATTCTCACAGCACAAATCAGTTCACGTCCTTTTATTTTTTCAAGTGCTGCCAGAAAACTTCGGAGACTTCAACCTTAGCGTTAAGAAACATACAAATTATGTATAAAATTGTAGAATTACATCGTATAACAAGTGTCTAGCAGCACTAAGTGAAACTGGTGTTCATTTTGCTTTTGCCCAAAATAAATAAAAATAAAAATAAAAAAGGATGGGTGGGGGGGTTGCAGCATGACGATCAACTCAGTCTATTTTAATGAAACACATGATATTGGAAGACCCTTGTGTTTTGTAAATTTTGTCATGCACAATAAACAAGGATACTCCTGTATCCACTGAACAAAATATAGAAAGTAAGGACCTACGAAACTCCAGACCATAAAGCCTTATCTTTCAACATTTGGCCCAGTAATTTAATTTCACTTTCCAGATTATAAAGACTGCACTTTATTATCTATTAGATGCTAAATTGTTGAACTTGAATTTGTTCGAATGGCCTCAATCTTGTCTTTATGCGGTTGGCAGAAATAGTGGCTTTTAACCCAGATGAAAGGGAATCTTCTGTGTCGTTTGAAGGAGAGGGACTGGTCTTTGTGGTGGCCATGGAATCCCTCCTGATTTATGTCCCATAACCCTGAGAAGTTGGCGGAATATCCACCTAACTCAGCCCCAGGATATCCTAATGAAAATCCATTATGAAAAC